AAATACCACTGGTTGATTTTCTATCCACTGTGTCACCTCCCCAATCGGCATCGGCATACCCCAATATTACATTAGTGTTATATTTTTGATAAGTTAATTTCAAATCCAGCGTTCCCTTAATATAACGTAATACTCGTTTTAATGATATAAACAATTTTTCGCTAGCACAACTCTGAAATCTTGATAATATACTAATACATAAACATAAATCAGGTCTAGTAGCTAACATACTATACATAATACAACCTATCATTTGTCTACATTTATGCTCTAACTCTGTACTTTCGCTTTCAGTTCTTATTAAAACATTACAATCAAAATTGTTCTCCATAGGGGTACCCACCGGTTTACAATCAAACATATCATATTTTTTAAGTAACCTTTCTAAATAACTTTTCTGAGAAAGAGTAATTTTTCCATTTGTCTCATCTTGAATTACATGTATTCCCAAATAATAACTTAACAGTCCCAAATCTTAAAGAATTCATGTAATTTATATTTTAAATTTTCAATGTTCTGTTTAGAGGAACCTGTTATCAATATGTCATCAACATAAATTGATACGTAAATTTGAAATTTTTCTGAAATCTTAATATACAAACAATTATCGCAATTACTTTTAACATAACCTTCTGCCAACATAAATTCTTCAAATTTATTCTACCAATACAATGGTGCCTTTTTTAAACCGTAAATAGCCTTTTTAAGTTTACATACTTTGCCATTAACTTTACAATTTTTTGGTAAATACATATACAAATCTTCTTGCAATTCTCCATGCAAAAATGCATTACAAACATCCATTTGATATATTGACCAGTTATTAGTCGCACAAATAGCTAATAATGTTCTTATTGTCTTTACTTTTACTACTGGAGCATAGAGATCTTCCTGTAAGCCCTGTTGTTGATAACCTTTTGCCACCAACCTGCACTTAAATTGATTAATGTCACCGTTTGCATCTCGTTTAAGTTTAAACACCCATTTACTGTCCACTATTTCACAATTTTTTGGTTTATTTACTAAATCCCATGTTTTATTATCTGTCAAAGCTTTTAGTTCATTTTTTATTGCCCTTTCCCACTCATGCGCGTTCTCACTGTTCATAGCTTCTTCGTATGTTATGGGTTCGTCCTGATCAACAGTAAAATAACTCACATAATCTTTTAATTTATTCGGTAACTTTATTTTTCGTTTAGGCCTTTCTTGTCTCTGAACTTCTACATTTTCTTCTTGTAAAGCATCACCATATTTTGTCCTTCTTCTTCCTCTTCACGGTCTTCTTCTTCATTTTCCTCTTCATGTTCTTCTTCTTCATTTCCCTCTGTTCCCTCTTCATCCTCCTCTATCTCACTTGCATTTTCCACTTCAAAATCTAGTCTTACAATTTCTTCTGTCTCCTTGTTCACATTGCTTTCTTCACTTTCTGGTACAAAAATTATCTCTCTTTCTATTGTCACAGTTTCTTTATCAATTAAATATACTCTATAACCTTTTGTGTTCTGTGCATATCCCATAAATATAGCCTTCTTGCTTTTCATATCCAATTTTTGTCTTTTCTCTTTCGGTATATAAAACCAAACTTCCTCTCCAAATATTCCTCGTAGGGATTGAAGGTCAAAATCTCTATTATACCACACTTGATAAGGTGTTTTATTTTTTACTGGACTCGTTCCAGTTCTATTTATCAAATATACAGCCATGTTCGCTGCCTCAGCCCAAAATTTTTTCTCCATCTTTTTCTCAGCCAACATTGTTCTTGTTGCTTCCATAATTGTTCGAAACTCTCTTTCTGCCCTTCCATTTTGTTGAGGGGTATAAGGTACAGTGAGCTGATGTATGATTCCATATTCTTTTAATAGATTTCTTACTGAAACGTTTACAAATTCTTTTCCGTTATCACTTCTAACGATTTTTATGTCCCTTCCAATTTGGTTCTTTAATTCAATAATGAACTCTTTCAATTTTTTATATACCTCATCTTTACTTTTTAAGAAATAAAGAGTCTTATAATTAGAACAATCATCCTGTAATAGAAACATATATCTTGAACCACCAAGCGACAACTCCTCCATTGGACCACACAAATCCATGTGAACAATTTCACCTATCTTGTCTGATCTCGATAAGCTCATTTTAAAAGTTTCTCTATGTTGCTTTCCTTGCACACATGAACTGCAAAACTTTAAGGTTTCTTTTACCACAGTATTGTTCTGCTCTAAAACCTTTTCAATTTGTCTAAAGTTTTGATGAGCCATTGCTCTGTGCCACTAGTTTAAATTATGTTCTTCTTTTGCCAATAAACAACTATCTTTCTCCAATAAATTTGTATCTATCTTGAAAATCAGGTGGGTCAGTGACGTAGCTGGTTCTATGAACAACACAACACGATGCGAGGATTAAATATTTTATATAGACTGTACCACAGTATAGGCACGTATAGGGTATCTTTTATTCTGACTGTATCGAACCAGTGACGTCAATTTGCGGGGTAATAATCGATACTACAGAGGCATAGGGAATGAGGTAACCTTATGTTCTATAAACCTTGGTATATTTGTATTGAACTAAAACTAGAACTAACACTACACTTAGAACTGGAAAGTTTCGAGTTTAGTCGTGCGTCCTTGGAAAAATTTGCGTATGTCTGAGCTTATGATACAACTTGGTTAATATTAGGACACATTTTATTCACAGCTTTAATATAAATCGTGGAAAATATAAACACATTTTTTTATTAGCTCCAGATGTCAGTTAATAGTAAACCTTTGAAAATCATTTAACAATCCTGTTTTTTTGGCCGTCTGCCCTTGGTCGTCGTGTAATAGACTTCGTTGAAAAACCCATATCTGCGAGGGATATTTTTGACATCCAGTAAATTACATGGTGAAGAGTTCACGTTGGGGATTACGGTGTGATACATCACAATCAATACCAACGAGGGCTGAATTATATATTTCGGCCTTTTTTGACGTTCGTTTTCTTTATTTTAAGTCGGAGCCCGTAATGTTCATAATAAATGTACTATTTGCATGCATACAAACAATTTGCCTCAACCAAACGAAGAGAAACTCATCAATAATAATGGAAATATAACGAGAATCTTGACATTTGTGTAAAATATTAGTTGAAATTGAATTACATTTTAAAATAGATTAAATCATTTTTAACCTTGAAATAGAACAAAAAAGGTTAACGTTCTAATTCGTTTTAGAGAATAAAAAAAATCTAATTAAAATGTGTTTTAAATTTAAATGTAAATTTCTTTAATTTAAAGATTTTATCATTTTTTTAAGTCATATTCCTTAATTAATATCATTTAGATTATGTTTGGATGTTTTTTCCTACATTTTTTCCTCACATTTAATTACAAATTCCATTTCTACACTTCACAGAACACGTTAAAACTATTTATCCTAATTAAAATTGAATAATGAGGGACTTGTAGAAAAAACTAAAAAATAATTTGAATCGAAAATTAATGTTGTAAGAAGAAAAATATCCTTCCCCTTCATTTTGTTTATTCTAGTATCCCTCAAGATATATATCAATAACACCCTGTAGGCGCATTAAATATTCTATTCCCAGCACGTTTTGTCGAAATCACTGGTGTCCTTCGACCTCAGATGTCAAATCCATTTCTATTGAACTCGACGAAATCGAGATCGTCCAAGTCCTGTTTTGTATGAAAATTGTCCTTTCCTTTTCGCATATTCGCGATTGAACATCAAAATAAAGCAAAAAAAATTGGGGTTGAAATATAAATCATTCGAAAATCCAACGGTATTACGAATTAGCATCGGAATGTAGTCATTTCAGCGTTGTTCGTGTTAGTGTGGAGGACTTGCTGGAGCCTGTATGGACGGTGATAACGACCTTTTATCGCATAAACAAAATTTACGCGATCAATTTTTTGATAACTCAGTTTTAAAAAAACTTTGATAAAGAGTCTTTCAACGCATCACTCTTTCAAGTCTTCAAAAAACAGCTCAGAATAATAAATGGAAAAGGAAAGAGAAAACTAATATATTCTGCATACAAGGAAGATCGATATTGACCAGATCAAGCTCTTGTAAGCTCCATACTTTTCACGTATATCTCGAAGTAGGTGCAAAACTCAGTTTACCTAAGTAGGACTATACTCAACCCGAAACTAGAATATAATTTCCAGATTATAACTAATACATTATTATAAAATGATTATAGTGCAATTATAGATGTATAATTGCCGTGATTATTACGTAAACAAGAACTAATCCAGTTTCTATGAACCGCACAATAAGATAATACTTTACAAACATCTACAATACCCTCTAAACGGCGATATTATAATTTAAAAGCTTAATTATTCGTAGCAAAATCGTTTATCAACATTTATATTCGGTTTATTGAGAGAAATTTACATTTTTTACACAACAATTTTTCATGAGGGGATGAACCGGAAATTAACTCGTCAAACGGATTACCAATTCAATGCGGAATGTTTCCCAGTTTACTCAGATCCTTGCCAGATATTGATATATCGATGAAGATTGGACGTGAAAAGGGGAAGACGTGAATTATGTAAGATAACTGCGAATTGGATACTTTCAACCCTTAGATATTGAATTGTTGATTTAGAAATAAAATTTTTTTACCCGTACGACGATAGCAACAAACCTCCCAGCAACAAACTTTTACCCGTAATTTCCTATCTACTTTCTTAGCTGATATCTTCCTTATAATTAGGGATAGCGAAAAACTAAATGCACCACTTGAAAGCTTGAATCTTTCTCTATCTAAAACCTGGTGGTTTCGTCTGCCGATAAGTTGATATTAAGATCAATAAAAAATGAAGAACACCAAACATTACTTAAAATAGCTCAAAATTACCAAACTTCAAGGCCTTGTGCAATTGTTACGAAACCGAATTTTAAAAAACTGTTATTACAGTCAGAAAGGGCGCTCCTTCAGCTATCTTAAGGTGGGATTCCTATGGTGCGTCTGACGCAAACGGCGATCGCAGTGCGTCTGACGCAGTGTACTGCTTTAATATTATTTTATGTACTAATTTCCTATGTAGCGTCAGCGGCTTGCGGCGATTTTGTTGAACGCAAAGCCGTGCGGCTATACCCCTCGAAGAGCAGTATAGACGCAGCCGTTAGTCAAGTCTAAAAAAAAACCTGTGCAGATTGAAAACTGCTGTGGTGATATCAAAACGAAAAATTTTATTTAAAACGAAAAATGTCCATGGAAACATTTACAGGTTGGGAAGATGAAAAGTTGGTGGAAGTGGTTGCAAAGTTTCCGTGTATTTATGATCTTTTAAATCCGGCTCATAAAGACCAAATAATAATAGATAATGCCTGGAAGGAAATATCGCAATTTGTAGGGAGATCAGGTAGGAAAAACATCGTTACAATTCATTATCATTTGTTATATTAGCTTTATTAGAAAATATAGGTGTCTCACTGAAGAGGGACATAAGGTTTTTTGAAAAAACTATAGATGCAATAAAATTCATATTTGGCACGTTGATGTAGGGTGAAGAAATATATCTTTCAATGGTAGTGTCATAGAATACAATCTACTAAATCATACAATCTACTACTTACGGTTATACTGAAAATTGTTCACTATTTATAAGATAATTTAAAAATTTTATTTAACATTTGACTACATAATTGATTTACAAACTTAATTCCAAACAACCTTCATTCGAAAAATGTTTTGCTTCGTCTACAATGTTTGAGACAAAAATTAAATTAAATTATGTTGCCAATTTTTAAATAACATTTTAAAACTTCTTTAAAAATAGTCACTTCCGGTTTAATCGGAAGAGATAGAAACATGATACTATACCACTAAAAGATAGACCATTTCAACCTTTATCATCGTGCCAAATATTAAATTCATAGCATTTATGGTTTCTCCAAAAAAACCCTATGTCCCACTTCCGTGGGACACACTGCATAATATACACTACTGAGTTCTGGTAACATGATTATTTTGCCAAGATACTGTCCCTGCACGACTGTTGAAATATTTCATGAAGGAATCTCTTACATGAAATCCATCCGTATTTGCAAACCCCCCACCTCTAGTAAGTGGTATAAAATTTTGAGATGGTAGTGGTTCAGTTATGTCGATTTCGTAATATGGTTTCTGTTCTCTCTCTAAAAATGCTTCTCTTAGTAAATTGTGTAAACAGCAGGCTACAATAATTAAATCATCTGTTGTTTCTGGTTTTATAGCGATAGGGCTATAAAATATACGAAAGACTTGGCTTAACAAACCAAATGCATTTTCAGACACTCTACGAGCTCTTGAAAGCCGGTAATTAAAGATTGCTTTTTGATTGTCTGTGCTTGCAACTGGTCGAGAAAATGGTTTCATCATATTTGAGTGTAGTCGAAATGCCTCATCGCCTACAAAGACATGAGGCAAAACAATGTCCGAATTTGGTAGTTTACATGGAGGGGGAAACATGTTACCAGTCCGAAATTGTTTCCCAATATTACTTTTATCAAAAATTCCACTATCGCCTTCTTTTCCATAAGACCCGACGTCAATAAATATAAATTTATAATTTGCGTCAACAACAGCAAGTAAAACTATGGAATAAAAATGTTTATAATTGAAGTACAATGAACCACTATGTGAGGGAGCAAAGATTCGTACATGTTTCCCATCGATAGCTCCAACACAATTGGGAAATTGCCACTTTTCTGTAAATTCCTTGGATTTTATCTTGAGTTCGTCTGGTGATAGTGGAGGTAAAAAAATAGGTAATAATTTTTTCCGTAAAACTGATAGAACATTTTTCACAATTCGGCTGATGTAGCTAGGAGATATTCTAAAGGCAAAACCCAATGATTTAAATGATTCGCCGGTTGCTATATATCTGAAAACAAAAAACATAAACCATATATCGTTGGTGTTGTGGCAAAGTCGCTAAGTGTAAACGGTAGTTTTAAGTAAATCAGTAGAACATATCGATTTAGCATATTGGGAAGTTTGGCGCCATTTTCTAAACATTGCAACATAAGAGTTTAGTAGATTTTACTAGAACGTCGATTAAATGAGCTTTTTACTCACTAACTTCTATTGCAGTAAAGGATTGTAAATACAGATGGCGAAACATCAAAGACACATATCAAAAAAGACTTAAAAAGGGAAAAGGAACTGGATCGTCTGCAACGTCCAAAGGTAAGAAGTGGCCCTTAGCAGACATGTTGACATTTCTAAATAAAGTGGATCACAAACGAGAGTAAGTTATTCTATGATAAAGCATCCACTAGTTGAAAATTTAAATCTATTTCGTAGAAGCANTTTACTAGAACGTCGATTAAATGAGCTTTTTACTCACTAACTTCTATTGCAGTAAAGGATTGTAAATACAGATGGCGAAACATCAAAGACACATATCAAAAAAGACTTAAAAAGGGAAAAGGAACTGGATCGTCTGCAACGTCCAAAGGTAAGAAGTGGCCCTTAGCAGACATGTTGACATTTCTAAATAAAGTGGATCACAAACGAGAGTAAGTTATTCTATGATAAAGCATCCACTAGTTGAAAATTTAAATCTATTTCGTAGAAGCATATCAAACCTTCAATGTGATAACACAGTTATTGAAGACGATAACGCCAGCACTGGGGACGAATGCTTAGAAACAGGTACATGTAATGCTGGAGATGATTCTTCAATCGGTAATCCGATCGAACATTCTCTCCAACCTTTGCTCAAACGGCCGAGAAAAAGAGACAAAATTGTTGAGTTAATGGAAGCAAGACGGAATGAACGTGAACAAATTATTAAAACATTAACTCAGAACAAAGAGCATGAGATTGACGTCTTCTTCAGAAGCATTGCAATGTCCGTTAAAAAGTTGAAACCGGAACTTATTAATGAAGCAAAAATGCGATCATTACAGTTGATTTTTGAATTGGAACAACGCAATGAATACCTCATAAATTCTCAGATACCTTCCACATCAACTATTTATTCTTCATCGACACCGACGCCGACGCTGTCAAGTTTGGGTGGAGATTCAGTCGATTACAATTTATTATAAAAAAAGAAAACAGAAATAAATTTGTTCTAGCAACAATAATTTCAGACTAGTTGTAAATACTGGTTGTAAATAACGTAAAAGAGTCATGCTATGGTGCATCTTGGCACCATAGCATCACTCTTTTGACGGATTTCAGGCCGTTCCCAACCGGTCAAAATACTTGTTAGAACAAAGAAATAGTTGTAATAAAGAGTGATATATTATTTTTGTATACCTATTTTGCACACTCTATTTACTGGAATATTTTGTTATTCCCGTTACTTTCCCTTTTTTATTTATTTTAAAAGAAATAATACATATCTTTTTTGTTATATCAACAGTGCAGTTTTATTCTACAGTCAACATACTTACCTTAGAGTTACGGCAAGTTTTTCGTCGGGAGTTATAGGGTACATATATTTGTTTGACGAATTCTTTTTTATATCTTCTTTAATTAAGTCCAAAACATAATTAAATTGAAGAATGTTTAGTCTAAAAAACGCCCGGAATTTCTGATCATCTACCAACAGATGCCGATTTACAAGTGTTGTAAAGAATCCTTCCTCGCGTCTTCTTTTAAAAATGGGATGTGTGCCCGTATTTTTAGAGTCTGCTAAATGTTGCAGAAGAATTTCTTCGTCTTCATTTTCTTCTAACATTAAATGTAACAACAAATTTTGTTCAGACATTGCAAACAACGTGTGCTTCGTTTCCGTTGATCGCGCGCGACTGAACGCATCATAGAAATTAACAACTATGCGTCAATCGCAAACAGTTTAACGCACTGCGATCGCCGCTTGCGTCAGACGCACCATAGGAATCCCACCTTATNCTAACACATGTACAACGGTTAATGTGCATGTTTTACACATGCACTTCACCCCTCACCACAGCCGGTTCTGACACACTCTGCAGCTGAGAAGATAAAATTAATGACATGGAAAAAAGTATTATAAGTATAACGTGCCAACTTAAATATAGCGTCTAATTTTACCTCCAATGAAGCAACTTTCTGCTCCAATTCACATAGTCTGATCATATGATTGACTCTCATATTATCAGTCATCTTTAAGCTAGGAAGGGAAGTTTACGCTATTAGTAGTGAAACTAGATAAAATAGATTCAGCAGATTCAAATAATGATGCTATGGTGATGTCGAGCGATATTGTTAAAGGGTTGTTACAGCTCGACGCCAGCCCTTCTCTAAACTGTGAAAGTTCTCTCAAAGAGGTCTGCAATTGAAGAACTTTTGCATGAAGGTCTTTCTAAAAATTTTGATACAAATTATTAATTTCGGCCAAAATCTCCCCTTTGGTTGTTTCTACTGCTGTACACATTGCGTTTGAAAAAAGGCTGGCAGACACATCGGAAATATCTGATGTCGTTCTCGATAACCACTTTCGACTGTGTCATTTCAACCTTCGACGGGGTCGCTGGTTCAAGTGACACATACTTGCGTTGGCTACGTCGCGAACGAGCACGTGCCTCCCTTCTTTCTTGTCTTTCCTCTCTATACTTTTCTGACGGTACCCACACACCTGCAGCCTTCTTCCAATGTTCACGGTTCCCCGAATTCCGACGAAGTGAAAGGCGTTTCACATTTTTATCGTCGACATTCGCGGAACCTGCGACGTTCAGAAGCGACGGATCTTGCTGCGCATTAGATTCCACGTTAGGATCCATCGGCTGCTCATTAGGCTGCACGTTTGGATCCAGCGCCTTCTCAACAGTCGATATGTTCAACAGGTTTATGTCAAAACTGTTTAACAGGAATGACTCCTGGCTGCTGGCGAAACCGGGAGCAGTTAAATCAATTTGACTAAAACCGTCTTAAGACATCTTGATAAAAAAAGATTCATACATTAATTTATTTTATTTTAATAAAAAACAATATATACATATAGGACAATATATGCAAAGGAAAAGAAGGCTATACTTACCAGAAAAAAGCCGCCGAGATAACGAAGTTATCAAAACTGATCGAACTGATCAAACGAAAAATGGTAATGATCAGCAGTAAGGTCCTGTAGGAATTGAAAAAATAAAAATAACAATTTAACATAACATACAAATAAACAAGTTGTACTCACAAAAACAAAGTAGAAAGAGCTGTTATGATGAAACAAAACAAGAATATTTTACATATTATATAAGCAAAGTAAAAAAGGTTACTTACCAAATAAAACACGTCAGCAAAAAAGAGGAAGCTGAAGGATGTCTAGGACTGGGAAAAAAATAATTTTAAATATTATATAAACATGCAAAACAAATATAGTTTTACTCACCAAAAAAAAGAGAAAGTTATAGAAAGAGCTGTAGTGATGGAGAGAAAATGAACGTTATATAAACATGATAATAAAGAAGGTTGTACTTACCAAAAAAACTGAAGAACACAAGCACTGAAGTGACTTTCAAAGGCTGGGAGGTGCCTTCTTATAGTAAAGTAAATGCGACTATTCGGGGTGTACGGTCCAGGTTTTAATTAAAGAAACAACTTTTTAAAAAGCTAATATTTCGGTTAGTTGGTTTAATTTAGAACGCACTTGTTATTTTTATATAAAAGAGGTTTTACCTGTCAGACATCTTGTACGCACGTTGATTCATCCAGTTGTGTTAATAGTTCGCTTGATCCTTTATGATCCGTTAATTATGATGATGTTTTTCGGTTGTTCTACAATTGTTACTTTCAAAAAACAAGTAAGTGTTTATCAAATTTACAATTTATACCTCTAACTTTGTTAATCTCTTGTAGCAATAAAAAATGCTCTGAGGAAGGTTACAATAAATAACCGAAATATTAGCTTTTTAAAAAGTTGTTTCTTTAATTAAAACCTGGACCGTACACCACGAATAGTCGCATTTACTTGTTGCTGACTTGTATCGGTCGTAGATACTTCTTTTCTGCATCTTATAGTAAAGTAATGAAGGGGGACGTGGAAAGGGGGAGGAGTGGGGGAATGGGTGGAGTTAGAGTGGGGGCACTTTTTTCTGGGTCAACTTTCCCGGAAATCGGGGGGGGCGAATTTTAGATTACAACTCCGAATCCCCACTCCCATCCCTACTCTTCCACTTTTGGGAGGAGCCTGAGGAGGAGCATGGGAGGAGCTTCAATCCCTTTTCCCTTTTCCTTTTTCTTTTTTTCTTCTTTTTTTTTCCTCTTTTTTCTTCTTTTTTTCCTTTTTTCCTCTTCTTTCCTTCTTCTTCTTCTCTTCCTTTTTCTTGATTTTTCTTTTCAATTTACAACAATTTTTACAACCCAACAGTACCCAACCCAACGTATACAAATGCTTTTTTCTTTCAAATTAAAACAACTTTTTATACTTTTTACAATCTTTTATTATTATTATTATAATTTACAATCTATAACTAACAATGTTTATATATTAAACCTTACATAAAGAACAATCCTTTCTTGCCGATGGTGGACCATCAATATGCGTTTCCCAATGAGGCAAATTATAATGTTCAAAACAGGGCAGCTTGCTTTGTAATCGCTCATCGTTTCTATACTTCAACGGTAATTTAAACCAAACCGCCGCCAAATCTAATGGCTTTACTTTATTGATATAATAATCGATTGGTAAATAACATAATTCGTAGTTTTTAATATTCGCAAAAGATAAATCGATTCGTATCTTTCCATAATATCCCACACTTTATTAATTATAAAAGTTGAAAGTCCCAATCTGGTAACTAACCGCCAAAGACGTTCCATCTTGAACTGCTCTACCGCTACTACTCGTCTGCCTTTCTCAATTCGTTTACATATAGTTATAGATTTCTGAATACGTATGAAAATAAATAAAAAACATTCGATAAGGAGCACATACTTGGTCTCTTTTTATGATAGGGACACATCCGCGCACCAACCTCCAATTTGCATTCATTTTCCGGCAATTCTTTTACCGGTATTGTTAAAATTCTTCTTAAAAATGTAGCTTTCTCACGTCCTTTTACATACGCTACTTTTGTTGAACGGCACAAATAACAAACGATCTCATCGAAACGAGACGCAGGAACAAACCCGTCGTTCCAATCAATACAATGATGATGACTCATTAACCAATTCGCCGTATTGCGAAATTTGGTAGATAGGGAAGAAAAGCTTCGACTATGTTGAAACACGTAATGACTTATACAATGATTATTGTCGTAAGAAGCCAGTTCCTTTGGGATAAATTCTTCATCGTTTACCGTGAAACCTTGTGTAATGTCTTTACTTTATAGTTTATCAGATTTTTATTTAAACACAAAGTGTTGATTTTAAAACATATTCTATTTTCCTTATAATACAATTACACCGGTCGCGAGTTTAATCGATGAGTGCTTGCTTAAGACTTCCCATACTATTCTAGTAGTGTAAGAATGCCGGTTCTAGACCGGAAGTGCCAAGCTCGGCTTGGAATACGTTTAGCTGCTACAATTGGATACGGTGTATGTAAATGTAAATCACTCACTTTTTTCTTAGGTAAAAATTCACACTGTCCTAAACGATTTAGATGTTCCATCTTTTCAATAAGCGGTGTATAAACTTNCGTGTAACCTTCATTTCAGGTCACGTACAAGGTCAATGTCATGGTCACAATTAAGGTTGACTTCAAGGTCTCCGTTGAGGTCAAAGTAAAGGTCATTGTTCAGGTCAAGGTTACTGATCAAGGTGATGGTCACTCAACGTGATCTTGACCTGAGGTGAGCTCAAAGTAAAGGTCATTGTTTAGGTCAAGGTTACTGGTCAACGACCCCCTTTGCAATAGCCGATTCTGGAACCTCCTCCCAGAACCTCAGGGCAAGGTCAAGGTCATGGTCACTCAACGTGACCTTGGCCTTGACCTTGACCTGAGGTTCTGAGAGGAGGTTCTAGAATCGGCTTTTATCTACTACTCACACCATCAACATGTACTACGTTAATAAGATATCGAATATCGCTAAACATAAATGCAACGGGATTGTTAACCAATTGCCCCGTTGCGCTGGCATATTTTGTTACACTTCCGTCCGCAGCTAACTTACGAACGCTACCCTCGACGTATAGATAACTCTCGCTCGGTAAAGTATAATTATCTATTTCCGGAATTGAAATTCTAATTTCGTCATTGTTATCGAATGTGGTCGATCGAAACGGTTGATGCGAATGGAATTCATAACTTACGATAGAGTGATCTGTTTTTATCTTATCGGTTACTGTTAAAATATCCATTACTTTAACACTTCGTATCCTAACTAAACTAAATACCTTCGATCGACTGGTGATAATTGATGAATGGATCGTCTTCTACTGCCGCTACGTTGACTGATGACGCGCGCTTTATAGTTTTCTCCATTAAGCAATTTTCTCGCTCTGTCTCTTCTTGATCACCGCATTCTTTTGTTTTGATATAACACTATCATAACGTTAGTCAAATTTAAATATTTCGATTTAAATAATTCAATTTATCGATCTCAGGTGAACTCTCACTGTTATTTCTTCTTCTCTGAAGTCTACCAAGTTTCCGTCCTGATCAAGTATACGTACTGTTAAGCTACTAATCACGTTCGGTAAAACCGATAAATAAATAGGCAGTTGTGGTGATTCGATTATTTTAAAACCTGCCGGAACGTTTGGGAAAAAATGATATAAAACGTGCACGGGAACTCCGTTATTATACGATCCAGTCACTAAATTACAATAAATTTGTAAGGCGTTCGTTTTATTTATGTTTACTACGAAATCGGATTCCACTTCCGTATCTCTAGGTAATATTTGAGGCTTGAAGCCAAGTAACGGCCCTATAGAATTATCGCATGCAAAATTAATTCGACGGGTACTTTTTATTAAAGAATGTTGTGTGTTATTATTCCCCTTAATCCTTATTACGACACTTTTAGCGTGTCTTTTGTCTAGCTGTTCATTCACGAACTCGGCAATATCATCAATATCGTACGTTCCAACAGGTACTATTATATTGTTTTTAAAATGTCCTGTCTTATCTTCGTATTGGATTACGTTGTTGTTTTTATTAACGTTTGCTAAACTATTAAACGTTTCGAAATTCAAAAGAGCCAACTCGTAACTACCAAATTCGTTCAAATAGATCGGAGGATTAAAATTACAAGTCAATTCAGATGACTTTCCAGTCAACGTAAATGTATATGTCGTGTGTATTGCTTCTTTCTCCATTACTTCTGAACGTCTAAACGTCTCTAGACTCTAATAGGTTCTTTTATTACTTAGAAACTTCAGACACAACTGTCCGCAATTTTGATCTATTTCTCTTTGATATCGACAGTAATTATACTTTACTTGACCACCCCTACCGTCTGACAGCAAATATTGTTCAATTTCTAATGGCGGTCTTAAATCACCGTAACTGTCGAAATAGTATATGTCCTTGTCGTCTTTCTTATAGGCGACCCAATGAGTCCCTCGTCCTTTCAAGTTATCCAAGTTAACAATACCTCTTTCCTTCTTTTTAATCTTACTCGGGAGATTGTCTCTCATAAATATACCCCGAAAATGTGGAATTTTTAGTACTTTCGCAAACTTTTCCAACTCGACGTTAGTTAACGCACGACGAGGTATTCGAACTAGTTTTTTGAACTAGTGGTTATACCGCAACCTTTCTTATAGGGCTTATTGAAGTAACCTGTGCCGCCAACATTATTCCCCTTTCCTTCAATAAACAAACCGCAACCTTTCTTATATGGTTTTATATAAAATCCGCTACCTACGGCCTTTGCTTCCATAGCCTTGTTATGTCTTCGTTCTTCATCTAATTGCTCTCTAGCTGTTTTCGCGTTGTTTATAGTTCTTGCAATAGCGGCAGCACCACCGCCGATACTACCTAGGGCACCTAAAGCTGCGAACAGGGGAATTAAAGGTAAAAATCCTCCCGTTTTCGGAATTCGAATAACTCGACCTCTAGGTTCGGAAATTCTTTTTCTTATCTTTTTCAAAGCTCCGTACGCCGCTTTAACGTTTGTCAACAAATTCTTAGCACCTGATCTCGATATTGCGTTGCGAGCGAATCGAAGTGCATCTACAAAAGATATAGCTCCACCACGCTTTACACGCGTTCGAACTTTTTTTAAAGGTCGTCGACCCGTACGATTTCTTTTTCTACCTACGCCCATACCGACCGCTACTTTTGCTTTCATTAAGGCAGCAACTGCGGACGATGCCACTTTTTCTCCAAGAGTAGACTCCTTATTTCGTATTCGTTCTTTCGCTGCTTTTTATAATGCTCTATCTGCGTCGTGTCTAAATTTTAAATCTGAACTGACCGTGTATGCTATGTCGTGTTTCTTACACGCTTCGTCTAATGGATTCACGCCTCGATAATCTCTTTTCCAACTTGGTACCCGGTCCACAAAAGTTATATCCTGGCAAATGAAGTTCTATCGGAAGTTTAGCTATCAACTTGTTAAAAAATCCGCGACCAATTCGTTTGCCTGTCAAACGATAACTGTTACGATTAGGTTCTAACAAATTCATTTTATAATTTCACTGCTTCTTCATTTTCTTCACAGTTAAAAACTAGAAATGAAGCTCTGCTGTTGTGCGAATTAATATGAGCAATAACAAAACAAAGCAATAATAAAGATAGAATAAAAAAAATTAAACAATATTGAATCGCATGAGATTTTGAAATAAATTGGTAAACTAAAAAACTATTGAACAAAATTACATTCTTAAACTTCAATTAATAGGAAGTAAACACAATTTTGCGATTGGTCTTGTTAATGTAGTAGTAGAAGTCTTCACTGTAACCACTCTAGAGATGCCATCAGTTCCCGCCTGATGAAATTGCACAACTCGGGCCAGAGGCCATTTAGATGGAGGTGTTCTTATATCTTTGATTAGGACCAAGGAACCAACTTTAAGGGGATGTTTTGATTCAAACCATTTTGTTCTATTTTGAATGTATTGAAGATAATATTTCGTCCACTGAATCCAAAATTGTTCCATAAATTTTCGCAACAATTGCCATCGACTAAGTCTAGACAATTTTATATCGATTAATGACATTTCCGGAACTGAAGCGAGAGTTCCACCTATTAAAAAATGAGACGGCGTTAGTGACTGAATATCATTGGGGTCATCGGATAAAGGACAAAGGGGTCGGGTGTTTAATACTACTTCTATTTCGACCAACAATGTAGCGAATTCTTCATAAGTTAGTGAAGTATCTCCGATGATCCTCTTAAGATGAAGTTTGCATTCTGACGAAGCAACTGACAGTAAATTACGAAGTTCTTTATCAGCACCCACGAAATTTGTACCACAATCACTGGATAATGTTGCGCAAATTCCTCTGCGGCCAGTAAGTCGTTTAAAAGCTGCTATAAATCCTGGTGTAGTATAGTCAGTAACAGCTTCCAGATGGACAGCAGAGGTGGCCATACAAACGAATACTGCCAGATAGCCCTTGTATATCCTTGAACCACGTCCACGAAAAGTACGGAAGAAAAAGGGCCCAGCATAATCAACTCCTTAGTTGAGAAATGGTCGTCCTGGAGTCACTCGTGTTGATGGCAGTTGACCCATAATTTCTTGACTTGTTGAAACTCTTTCTCGAGCACAAGGAAGACATCGATGAATATACGCACGAACTGGGATCCTTCCACCAACGATCCAAAATTGACGACGAATAGAGGCCAAAGTTGATTGAGTTCCAGCATGTAGATTTTTCTTATGATGATAATCAATGATCAACGTAGTCAAAAATGATGCCTTCGGTAAGATAAGAGAATGCTTCTCACTCCAATCCAAATTCGCAAATTTCAAACGCCCAGATAATCGCAGAAAACCATTCCCATCAACAAACGGACACAGACGATATAATGAATTGTTACGTTCTAGATGTTTGTGATTTAGCAGTGAGTTGATTTCATCGAAGAAATATTGAGCTTGAGTTTGACGAACATATACCATAAGTGCGTTATGAAGCTCATGTGGTGACAAAAAATCTACAACAGAAAGCAATCTTTGTTTTCGACACTTATTTACAAACCGTAAACACAATGATGTAATGCGTAGCAATCTTGTTAAACTGGAATATCGCGCGATTAACTCCCACGCTGCCTTGGTCGGCCTAGCGATTAGAGCACAAAATTTATGATCTTCTTCGGGAATACTGGACAATGATGTTGGAACTTCTGAAGACCACGACGAATTGGTATCGGACAACCAGTCAGGACCGGACCACCATAACCTCTCATTCACCAGCTTAGATGGATTGATGCCACGTGACGCGAGGTCAGCTGGGTTTTCTTTTCCAGAAATGTGATGCCACTGTGCCAACGAAAAGTCTTGGATCTCCGTATCTCTATTGCGGACATACTCCTTCCATCTGGATGGATGACTCTGAATACAGGCCAGAACAATTGATGAATCACTCCACAAATGGACAGGAACATGAGAAATGTCTAAAACTTTAACTATACGTTTAATTACTCGCGTCAACAATACTGCCGCGCACAATTCTAGTCTCGGAATAGTAACGCGTTTAAGAGCAGCTACTTTTGTTTTTGATGTGACAAGCGTTACACATGATTTTTTATGGTCATAGCACACACGAATATATACTACCGCACCAAAAGCCCGTTGAGACGCGTCCGCGAACCCGTGTACTTCGATTTTAGACGCAGAAAATGTTCCATACCATCTAGGAATTGATATCTCAGAAATAAATTTTAATTCATTAAGAAAATCTAGCCACTGAGAAGAAAGATCTTGAGGTAACGCACAATCCCAATCAAGCTGACATGTCACACAATAGGAGAAATCCAGCCGAGTGGATCAAAAATTTTTGATATTTGAGACAGTACAGTGCGTTTTGTAATAACTCCATTATAAGAGTGAAAAACTTCTGAATTAAACAGGAAATAATCGTTGGATTTATCCCAACGCAATCCTAACGTACATGAAGTAGTATCGAGCACCAGAGCAGCATCTTTATCAAGTTGATCTTTTGACAATTGGTTTAACACTAAATTATTGTTGGACATCCATTTTCTTGCTACAAAACCAGCTGATTTCAGAACATTGTCAATCTGAAGAATTTGAGCTTTTATTGTTTCTAAGTCATCAGCTCCTGATATAATATCATCAACGTACATATCATTAGAAATTATATTGCTTGCTAGAGGTGAGTCATGGATGCAATCAATTGACAATTCCTTGAGACACCTGATCGCCAAGTAAGGGGCACAAGCTAAGCCATATGTTACTGTAGCTAACTGGTATACTGATAATGGTTGATTTTCACAATCTCTCCACAAAATTTGTTGAAATTTACGATCATTTGGATGGACAATGATTTGATGGTACATTTTCTCTATGTCCGCAGTGAATACAAATTGATATCGTCTCCAATGCATCAAAATATCTGAAAGATCGTTCTGGAGCTGTGGGCCTATATGTAAATTGTCGTTAAGAGATTCTCCCAATGATGTTTTTTGGGATCCATTGAAAACCACTCGTAGTTTTGTTGTTGTGCTTGTTTCTTTGATCACCCCATGATGAGGTAAAAAGAAGTGAGGAGTACAAAATGATTGATCGTGTGGTAGTTTTATCATGTGACCCAAATCATGATACTCTTTCATAAAAGATAAATATTCACTTTTTAAACTAGAATTTCGTTTAAAACGATTCTCCATTGCAAAAAGAACTTTAGATGCTGGAGTGTACGAATCACCCAAATCAATAAGACTATTTTTAAATGGAAATCGCACGATAAATCGTCCTTCTGAATTTCATTGATAAGTACTCTGAAAACACTCTTCACAATCTGATTCTTCCTTACTGAGAGCCACAGTTGATGCTTCGGGTTGTTCTTGTAGCTAAAATCGTTGAATCAACTCCTTTAATTCAACATCAAGTGTGCACTGAAAGCCATGAACTGGAGAATGAAATGGAGTATTGTTAACAGGACCAGACAATATCCAACCAAGCTGAGTTTTTTGAGCAATAGGTGCATTAACGTCACCTTTTCTGATTCCATTTTCAATGATTTGAGCGTATATGTCTGCTCCAAGAATGACCTCTATTGGTTCTTGAGAAGAGTAATTAGGATCAGCGAGCGGTATATTTTTAAGATGATCACAGTTGGAGTAATACAAATGTTTAGGTAGTAGATACGACGTGAGTTTTTTAAGAACAAGTGCTTTAGTACTAAATGTTTGATCGGGGTTTGAGTGCGATGAAAAATTGAGATTAATTACTCCTCTTGAGTGTCCAGCTTTTTGAGCACCAATACCAATGATTGGAATATTAGCATTACTTCTTGAAATGTTTAACAACTGAACCATAGCTTCGGCAACAAAAGAAACCTCCGAACCTTGATCAATTAAAGCACGTGCCATGAAGCGTTCTCCCAGATCGGTTATAATCGATATCATAGCAGTAGCTAATAGTACAGATTTAATACAAACGACGTGTGTATATGCCATACAACTTTGAGACGAAATTAATTCTGATGAGGTCGGCGAGATCGTTTCTTGTTGAGATGTTGATGGTTTGATTGACAACTTTTGATGAAATGTGGTTTGGTTATTGTGCAACGTTGTATGATGTTGTTTTTGACAGAGCTTGCATCGTTTTTAAGTTTTACAATGTTTCAATAAATGGGGTCCAAGACAATTAAAACAAAGATTTTTAGACATGACGAACTCTTTACGTTGAGCTACAGATTTATTAAGATATTGCTGACAAGATGTAATATAAAGGTCACCTTTGCAGCATGAACAATTAAATAATGATTGTGAAACATGAGTGTTAACTTGGTTTAAAATTCTAGAGAGCACCACATTAGATGCAGGTTTACGATGACCAGATATTTGCTCGATAGCTTCTAAAGCATGAATTCGTCCAGTGATAAATGTTTCAAGCTGAGAAAATGTAGCAGACGTTGTTTTATCACCAATTGACTTTTCCCAATATATTTATTGAAATAAAGATTAGATTTAAAATATCGATCTTCGTTATCAGTTTATTTCCTCCTCGAACCTGCGTTCTAGGAGGAGGTTCTTGAATCGGCAAATTTTTTGGGGGTCAGAGGAGGTTCAATGAGGAGAGGAGGTTCTTGAATCGGCGATTCTTTTGAGGGTCGGAGGAGATTCGATGAAGAGAGGAGGAGGTCAATTAACTTGAGAAGGTCATGTTATTTTGACGAAATTATTAAAAATTTATCTTTATTAAAAATGTATCTTTATTTAGGTTATGTTATTAAAAATTTATCTTTATATGTAACCTGTTTACCTAGATGAAAACAATTACTATGTTTATCCTTCGACGCTTCTCAATGAACTGGTAATGTTTTCGATATATCTCTTAACTTATTGTACACAAAGGTATACGGTTTTGGGACATGTAGGTATACAAATAAGTGAGTCATGATCTACCTGCGGGATATTTTTTAAAATTTATTGTGTAAAGGTATACGGAGCTTTAAAATATGCGAGGAGGTTCTTGAATCGGCAAATTTTTTGGGGGGATACGTTCGAGGAGGAGGTCAATTAACTTAATACTAGTAAGTGAGTCATGATCTACCTGCGAGATATTTTTTTAATTTATTATGCAGAGGTATACGGAGTTATAAATATACATGTATACAAACGCACTCGATGCATCCTCCTCCTCCCCAATAAGTTTCAGGAGCGGTGAGGGTTTATAAACGCCTGCGAAATGTGGTATTGACGTAGTTCTTTCATAACAAGTAGAAGTGTACAACATTAAATTGTAAAATGGTCGTGTGTGAGGATTGTGGAAAAAGTTTTACTCGAGTTGACAATTTAAAAAGACATCAACGATTATCTTGTATTGGCAAGAGAATCAAGCTTGACGCACCGCAAATTCCAAAAGCAGTAAAATGTGAGGCTTGCGATGATTATGTAAATAGACAATGTTACTCTGCACATTTACGAAGCAACGCACACAAGCGTAACGCTTTTGTTATAATCGATGACGGAGTGGAGAGAATAGCTGGAGCATTCGGTGACAAAATTGTCAGTTATCGAATAAGTGAAGAAGGTTTTTTTGTGGATTTGGATGAATTTTCTCATAGAATTCGAGAAAAAATACTAAATCTAATACAAAGCGCAATCGATATTCACCGAAATGTAAAATTAAATATGGAATGTTTTGGTTTGTATTTTTTACAATCAAAGGAAGACTGTGAAATAAAATCATTCAATACGAAAAATAAGGTAGTATCATTAGCGTCGGATCTGTATAAAATATATAAGGAATTTATTGATGAAATTTCATCAAAAATGTCAGAATTCCAGGAACGAGATTCAGGTAAGCGTAATGTGACATAATATACCTATATATTAAAAAATAAATGTTTCAATATTTTATTTAGGATGGACTTTAATGCAAATTCTCTATATGGAGTTAAATTTAAACAAATATAATCCTATCAGAGCATCTAATTACATCGATCTACCATCGCAAATAAAAGCAAAGCGTGCTGTGATAAATATACAAAACGCGGATGATGCATGTTTTGCATGGGCTGTAACATCCGCACTACATGAACCGAACGGTTTACCACAGAGGACATCTTCGTATCCGAATTACCTAGACTGCGGCTTAGACTATTCAAATATTGTTTTTCCAGTTAAATTACGAGATATACCTGTATTTGAAAAGCAGAACAAACTATCTATTAATGTATATGGAATAAATGAGTATTTTAAAGACGGTGTTATGAATTATGACATAATTACAATGTATATATGTCGACAAAAAGAAGAAAGACATATAAATTTATTATTGGTTACAAATGATTCCGGGAATAGTCACTATTGTTGGATAAAAAATCTGTCTCGATTACTATCATCGCAAGCATCGCAGAATGGTCATGAAAAGTATATTTGCGACGGATGCTTGGTATTCTTTACGTCAGAAAATAAACTTATCCGTCATCAAAGTGACGATTGCAGCAAGGTAAGGGCAATTTTACCAACAACAAATTTGAAAATAAATAAATATGGAAATGAAGAAAAGGAAAATATACTACAGTTCGAAAATTTTGAACGACAATTAAAAATACCGTTCGTGGTGTATGCAGATTTTGAAGCATTACAGAAACCGATCGCCGATGCGGAAGCAACAGAACTTAACGATGATAATTCATACTCCGTCAAATGTTTCAAACACGAACCTTATGCATTTGCATATTATATAAAATGTTCATATGACGAATCATTGTCGAAGTTTGAAATATATCGCGGATGTAATGCTGCTCAAATTTTCATGAGCAAGTTGGAACATGACGTTCTGAATATATACAAAAATTATTTAAGCCAACCAAAAGAAATGCTCCCATTACCACCTATTGATAGATTAATACATGAGATGCAGGATATCTGTCACATTTGTTCGCACAAAATAAAAGAAGGTAATAAAGTGTGCGATCATGATCACCTAACTGGGTTGTATAGAGGATCCGCACATGCTGTATGTAACATCAATTACCAAAGTTCATACCGATATTCTTTCACAATCTTTCGAACTACGATTGTCATATGTTTGTGAAAGATATGAGTAGTATAGCTATGTGCGTTCTGGACCAAAATCCCATAAGATTTAACATTGGGGTCGAAAAGTACTTTTCATCCCCACCACTACCTCCTTTCGAGGGTGTGGCCACGCCCACATTTTAAATTCAACCAATCAGAGCGCAGCATTATCTAAGAAATTTTAACCAATCAGAGCGCAGCATTCTCCAGCTCCCCCTGCTCCTTAAGGATCGGTCGACGGTGACGTCACCTGTAGCATCCTTAATTATCGAAGGTTGCTCCCCCTGCGCCTATGCTTATCAGCGGAAGTTGCTCCCCCGTGAAATAATATTAATAATAATAATAATAATACTTACCTTAAAATAGGTTCTCTATTTCTGATTGAGGGTAGGAGGAGAAGGAGGAAGAGAAAATCACAAAAATTAAAGTTAATACATATATTAAAAATTTAAATTAAACATGCTCAAAATGATAAAAATATACAGAAAACGCTTGTAATAACAACAACATCGATTAAAGTACATAGAATTTCAGCGGAAAAAAAGATAGTACTTGCGTGAAACGTATCACCCGATACAACACCCTATTCTTCTCTAACGACTTTAGAGCTTAAACTTTAGGTTTGTTCGCGCTTATACTTAAGGCATTTAATAAACCTTGCATCGCAACAATCAAATCGCGTTGGTACATATCGTAACGCTAGACGTCGACTGAAATGTAAAACGGTAGCGATATATAATATAATATATATAGGAGGGAATAATGGGTGGGGATATCTACTTTAAGGATCGAAGGTTGCTCCCCCCTGCTCCTTAAGGATCGAAGGATCGGTCGACGGTG